CACACACACACACACGTTTTTGTTACCTGGTGGGTCCCTTTGACAGGGCCGTTCAGAATGGGACCCATAGACATAATCTTTTTTTACTGGGACTACTTTAAGTAATACAAAACAGTCAATAGAAACCAAACAACTATTTTAAAGGAATTTTATTTTAGATTTTTTTTTTCGAATTGCAGTGATTCTATTTTTGACATAGAATTTAATGCCACTCCATGTCCGATGTCTAAGGTAATCTGGTGAGGCATTAATGCAGGCCAGGCAGTGAGACTTCCCAGGGACTGTTCCAGTCTGTATGAAAGGTGTCATGGTCTTCTCCACAGCCTTCACCTCAGATGCAGACCATGGCTTTCTTACACGTTCTAGGGAGAGAAATAAAAATATATTAGCAATATACACTCCCAGGGTTAGGACCAAGCAGCCTGGCTGTAATCCCCCACCTGGTACACTTACCAGAAGGGGCACTGCCACTACCATGGGGTGCATCTGGATGAATGGTTGAAGGTTCTCCGCTTGAAGTTTCTTTTAGCCCGTCCGTTTGTGAGAGGATCTCTACTGCTCTCCCTGTCGCACAGAAAATAAAAATACAAGTGGCCTTTAGGGGAAAAAAATCATACATATTTTAATAATATCAAGAATTACCTTCAGGCTCAATTTGTATCTGGTCGAGGCTCTTTCCTTCGAATTCCGTCACTCTTCCCTGCTCCATGGCCATCAACACTTTGCTGATTTTGGCCAGCTCCAGTGTCTCCTCTGGTAGTCTGTAATATTGTCTGTGGATGCGAATGTCATGGCCGAGGAAGTTGGCTATTATGTCCATTTCATTCTCTTTCATATTGAGAACTGTAGACATAGTAGCTATGTGCTTTCTAAGTTTGGTTGAGGATAGCATCTCTGGATGCACCGCACCACATTCTTTGGCTACCTGGCGTAGGGAGTCTGATCCCCTGATGTGGGTGTCTGCGCCCGGGCGGGAAAAGAAGTATGGGTTATGGTCAGAGATGGAACAGGCCCTTCTGTTCTCCACCAGCACCTCCATCGAAGCAATCATTTCAGGAGTCAAAAGAACCGGCACTTTCCGACTTCTTTTCCCTTTAATTTCAATGCGTTGAAAATGCTGACACAGCTTTTTCTCAAGTTGGGACAGTCCCAGAGCAATGTCAGAATGGATCCCAGTCTTACTTCTTAAGGTAAAGGCTGTCAGTGGCATCTTTGAAACCTCACCTTCCCTTCTTCGATTGAAAATAATGACCTCACAAAGAGTCAAAACTGCCAGTTTAGACCAATGCTTAGACGTTGGCTCACTTATTAGGGTTTGCACATATTCAGGTCGACATACCTCAATATGTGCATGCATGGCTCTAACGTCCTCAGTCAGAGGGAGCAGGTCCGGAGTGTTCCACTTGGCTTGCCGGAGGGTCTGTAGGGCAGCAGAAGAAACACAGACGTCCCACCTCTTCTCAAAAAGCAGCCGGCTTCGTTGGAGGTTTTTAATAAATAGTTCATCAACACAATGCTCCATTTTTTTGAGTCACATTCAAGAATATCTGCTAGCTTTCTGAGGCTATGGCCGAGTTTGAGGGCCAAGGATGGAGTCTTGTATTGATTTGTTTCCTCATCATATCCAGCCACAGACCTGACTGCATCAATCACATGGTTAAAGTTGGAAGGAATAAAGAAATCCTTAATTGTTTTCAGTTTCCCTGCAGTTTTTGCTTCGTTAATTAACCTACCAACTTCTCTCATTTTCTGCCTAATGTAATCATGCTTAGTCTTATCATGCCCGTGTTTTAAGTACAGGTGCTCTCCGAGTCTCAGAATCCCCTTTTCTGCTTTGACAACACCCGTGACCTCATCCTGATGCATTGCCGAAATTAAAGACCACAGCTTTTTGCTGATGCCCTCCGGTACAGGCTGGGCTAGGGAGCAGAAGGACTGGACCCTACTTCTACCTGGTTTAGCCTGGGCATCTTTCTGTGAAAGCCGGCACCTGGCCACATGCCTCCACAGCGACTTTCGCTTAAGCAATGCCCCACAGTCTATACAGTGCAAAAACTCACTGGATTTAACTGGGCAATTTGGCTGTTTAGCTGGGACTAAAGTTCCAATGCCGGCCTTTAAAACCTCAAAATTGTGCTCACGGTTTCCACTATTCCTGATCAAATCAAACTGAAGTTTACGTGCTTTTGACTTCACAGGTAGAGCCAATGCTCTGGCTACGTCACTTTCATTTCCATGTTTTCTAGTCAAATGACGGGACATTTTGTGGCAGGACATTGAACAGTAGAGGCAGAAGTGTCTCTTGCTGTAAACTCGCCCCCCATTTTTCTTCTTTTGCAGCTGCATGATAACAATCTTATTTGCCTTTGGTTCGTCACTTTCCGAGTCTTGAAGAAAAGTGTTTTTGATTTTTCTTTTTCCATACTTTTTTACAGGTTTCTTCTTGACGGTTAAATCGTCAGAATCTGAGTCGACTTCATCAATTAGGGACTCTTGACTAAGCTGCACAAACAACAAATAATTTGTAATCATTCTATATAACAATTTGAAGTCATGACTTGTAGTCAGCACTTACCAGTGGTTTGTAAGCGTGCGCTTCAGTGTGCTCCTCCATGATTTCTTGCAGCCTAATGAACCACACACTTGCACCTTTTTCTAGCCTGACACCTGATTTCCTCTGTTGTGCTGCTCCATGATTGGCTCCAGCCTGCTGGACTGAAATTGCCCCAGTGTGCCCCTCCTTGATATCCCGCAACCCACCACCAGGGTTCCGACACATAACACACTTTTTTCAGGAAAGTAAACCTCCAGGGGTCCTTTCCATATTTTTACAGAGACTGCATAAGGACCGTTAGAAAAGCATTACCCATTGATTATTAAGCTTGGACCAGTGGGGTCCGGTGTTCGGGCCCCACCACGTAAAACCAGTCCCCATGACGTGAGTGGAATCTCAGGTTATGGAACCCACCAGGAGTTGAAAACAAGTGCACACACACACACACACACACACACACACACACACACACACACTTACTACACCTCACCCCAACAATAGTGGATGATAAAAAAGTTAGTTAGGTAATTGCTGCTAATTGATTCATCGGTATAGCACGTGGATTGCTGTGTTTATTAATCTTAGATAGCACTTTTGTTCACAGTTTGTCTCACAGTTTAATTCCAGGAGCAAACTAAAATAAATAAAACAGTTTTGTGCCTACCCCTCGTGTGTCACATCCTGCCTGTGTCTGTCAAAACTGAATGATTGATGGCACAGACTGTAATCTTATGTCCTCTAAAAATAGATACACACAGACCCGTATGTCCGCTCCACTCAGCACATGGACATCAGAGAGAGCCCTGTTCATTGATGAATTCGGCTGGATGTGAGATGGAAAATGTGTGCAGATTGTCAGGTAAATACACAAAAAGATGTGGATGTTTGTTTTGATGTAATGTAAATGGACATAAAAACATGGGGGTGGAGTCTCAGCCTTCTCAGGGCCGGATTCACAAACAAGTGTACAGTACGGGCTTGTTTCTTCATGCCTCTGTCTGCCGGGAGAAAGATAATCAAACTCATGCTCAAATCAATGCCAGGTGACAGATGCAGACACCTGAGACAGTGGCTGAGATGCAGAAAATGTGACATGTCATAAATCTATAGTTCAGTTTATAATCAAAGCTACAGATGATACCCGGCGCCACATTGGCCACATGTATGTCTTTGGCTCTTCATGTTCTTATAACAAACATAACTTGTGTGTGTGTGTAAGTAAGTAAGTAATGTTTATTTATATAGCGCATTTTACAGACCAAGATCACCCAAAGCGCTTTACAATGTTCAGAGTTCAGATATTGTTCAGATATTGTTCCAATCATTCCACACACGGTGATGACAGAAGCGAGTCGCCGAACACACTGGACCATCAGCTCCAATCAACACCATCCATTCACTCTCTCATTTACATTCATACATATTGTGCATGTTTTTAGTGGTAGGGGAAATCGGAGCACCCGGAGGTAACCTCAATGACACGGGGAGAACATGCAACCTCCACTCAGAAAGTGTTTTGTGTGTATGCGTGTGTATGCGTGTGTGTGCGCGTGCCTGTGTGTGAGTGGAATTAAAGATTAACGAAAGAGTTGACCACTCAGAGCATCATCATCATCAGTCGTGGGTTCCTAATGCTCATTGACCGAAAATGGAACAGCAAAATGCAATAATGTCTGCCAGTGTCTGGAGGTTTCTTATTTTTTTTTATCTAACCTTTATTTAACCAGGAAAATACCATTGAGATTAAGAACCTCATTTTCAAGGGAGTCCTGGCTTGGTTCAGGTTCCCAAGATGCAACGCTCACCCATATAAGCTTCAAACACCACTGGTTATTTTCCAAGTCTAGTGCAGAGTTTCAAAACAAAATCGCTAATCTTTCTGAGGATTACTGCTGTGGTGTTACATGAACAATTTATATTACCTCGAGTTGACCGAGCATCATGTTATATTAGATTAGAACTCATTGCCATATAAGAAATATCAAGATAATGTCCTGTACTTTTTGTCCTCATAGGGAAATGCTTCTACATTTGACCCATCCTGCAATGCCCCAGTCAGGAGCCGTGAGAGCCATCTCCAGATGTGCGTGCGCCGTGCGGTCATACTTACTGTACTGCATGTTTTTGGTACAACTCAATGGACTGCTGTGATCTAAAAAAGAAAGTAAAGAGAAAGACAAATAACGTGCAGTTGAACTGATTTGCAGTGGGCAAAACTGCTTGGAGAAATTATGCACATTTGGAAGTGTCCTTTCACTAAAAAAACGCCTGCAAGTTAAAATAATTGGTTTGACGAGACACGTTAACAATATTACTTACATATTGCTGCACATGATGCAAGTAAATAAGAATGTGAAAGTCCAATCTAATTCTTGTTGGCATGATCTGCGTCCTCTGTCAAATGCATGCAGCGTGTTTGTGTGCGCTGAAATGTGACTGAATGATCTTAAGGCTCGTATACGTCAGCAGGGGAGGAGGATCCAGAGGGCTGGCTCTCAGCGAAACAAACAGGGAAGAGGAGCGTGGTATAAGTAGAGAATGAAGCGGGACAGCGTCCAAACAGCACAGACAGCGGAGGAGCGGCGGGGATGTGGACCGCAGCGAGCAGCGCGACTTAAAGCAGACGTGTGTTTCTGACGGACTAAAGTCGTCTGGAAACAGTCTCACACAAGTCCAGTGAGTCAGGCACACGTGTGGTCCCAGCGCCACGCGTGTTCTGCTTGTGTGGATAGGCTCCAGGCTCCAGGCTCCAGGCTTCAGCACTGACAGTGGACAGCTCCGGAGCTCTCCAGTCCGCTCCCGATGCGCGCACTTTCACACGGGCTCGGTCTGGTGTAAGTCCACGCAGCCGTCCGCGACCTGCGAGCTCAATATGTACCAGGGTCATTCACAGGTATGTCCAGTGTCAACACACACTTTTAGATCTAGCGCCTTTAGAGCGAGCCAAGGGCATTTTAACTCTGACAGTGTCAGTCACAACCAGTCACAGCAGCTGACAGCGACTATAGACTATAGGCTGACAAATATCTTTAACTAAAGGCACGGGCGACATGTATATTTACATCTTGAATAGAACACACTCTGATCCCAACGCTCTGTCAGCTCTTTCCAAGTCGCCAAGATAAACACGCCAGTGCTGAGCCCCACGTGCACAAATTGCAGCTCTCTGTTTCCAAGTTAAGTCTGCAAGTTTGCATTTTAAATCATATCTTATCTACATCTCACAGTGAATGATTTACTGGGGTTTCCTCTTCCCACGTAATGCACTGCTATGGGATGCTGTCCTCTGTAATGGAAATAGCCTTTAGAAAAGGCTATTGTCATCTATAGTCTTCAGTCCTGCACTGCTGTCAGCTGATGGAGACGCTCCAGACAGTTTATTATGTAACAAAAGACCAGTCCTGAGTCAGGGATTTTGGAGAGCATTAAAGAGCAAAAATTAATATTTAATGGTATACTGTATTTCTTTTTCTCCTACAACACTATTCATTCAAAATGCATGAAGCCGCCTGGCCTGTTCTTGTTACTTTTACCCATGTTCTATTAGTGAAGGGTCATTGAAAAGGCTGTGGTATGAAGTCTGATGAAGACTAATGTAATGTAATAGCACCCATTTTCATCCCATTTTATGTTCATAACCACACGCATGCCATCACACTGTGCACTGTTTGCATTCAGACTAAATGGAAGCATGTCCCCTGTTACATTCATGGGCCCAATTCAGCTGCAGATGTCCAGTAAATGCAGAATCGGATGGTGATGGATCTGGCTGTGACGCATGCCTTGTGTAACCAAAGCATTTATCATGCTTGGAACACTTTCTCTTCAGATGACAACTATGTTGGCTTTAAGTCACAGAGAAACATTTGAACGAAGGAAACAAAAGCATGCAGTGTAGATGGATGGGGTGTTCTACGCAAGTGGACATTTTGTACAAACAATGATGTGTTGTTACAGATGTTCTCCTCAGGACGTATTCCATGTCTGGGTCATAGCTTCACAAAAAAAACTCCATGAATCGGATGTAGCGGTTGTATCTGAAGGTATGAAAGGAATACCTTTAAATAAAGTGGTAAATACAGAGAGCTTGCAAAATGATGAGGATTTTGATTTGGAATAAATGAGATTGGAGTAATTTATTTAAATAGGGAACAGTGCACACATTAATAAACCAGAGGAAATATACGTATGCCTAATAAGGGCATGGTTATAATATAATTGCAGTATAGTCGTATGAGTACACTCTATGGAAATGCATAATGAATGTAGCCTGCATAAAATATGGAAAGATATATTAGTCAACAGCTGACAGTAATACAACATGTACTTGGATGATTCTGTAGCATAGCTCTGTAGCTGTTTTTTCCTAACCAGCCAGAAACACATAATTTACAACAATTATGATAAAACAAATTGTGAAATTACAATATCATCAAGCATTCATAATGAAGTGCAAGATTACACTTGTCGAGGTAAAGGAAAGGGTTGCCCTTAATTCTTTTAACTTTTAATTTGGTTGTGTCTAATTACCAGGAACATGTATTTCGAGAATGTGCGAACAATATCGCATGGATCACATTTCTTTAGTGAGATGGATTTCAAAGTGGTAACAAAACTTGCCCTCTTGGCTGGAACGGAGCTAGTGTATGGCCCAACAAGGTCGCCCAAATGTTAAATGTATTCAAAAATACAATATTAGTTTTTGTGAATTATCTTGAGGCTGCTTTTCATTAAGATGATTCTACTGCATGATTTAAACACAATATATAAATCCTCCACTAGGCACATCGGGGGGAACGCAAGAAGCAATATTTCAGCATTTTCATTTGCCAGCCAAATATTGTGTTGGTATATCATGTAATGGGAGAAGAGCAATGTGCTATCAAAAGTCATTGAGAGGTGGATATCAGGCTCGTGGCTGAAAGTGCAATTGAAGATGGCGAGAGCAGAACCTGACTCAGCACTCTCCTATAGACATACATACATGGAAACGAAGCCATCAATTCTCCAATATATGGCCCACTCCATTACATGTGTGACTCTTTAAATCTCCTGTTCCACTCCCTAGGCAAGGCAAGGCAAGGCAAGGCAAGGCAAGGCATGTTTATTTGTATAGCACAATTCATACACAAGGCAACTCAAAGTGCTGAACAAGATAGCATTAAAATCATAAATAATCACAGAACATTAAAAAGAAAGATAAAAATATAAAATCCCTCAGTTGTATGCACAGCTAAACAGCACAGTTTTTAACTTGGTTTTAAACATAGTCAGAGAGGAGGCCTGTCTCACATCTTCAGGAAGAATGTTCCAGATTTTAGCAGCATGAATCTGAAAAGCAGCCTCCCCATGTTTAGTTCTGACTCTGGGCACTAACAGGAGTCCAGTCCCTGTGCTCCTCAGAGTCCGGGCTGGTTCATATGGGACTAACATGTCACTAATATATTTTGGTGCGAGGCCATGGAGAGACTTGTACACAAGCAGAGCTGTTTTAAAGTCTATTCTCTGAGCCACAGGAAGCCAGTGCAGAGACCTGAGGACCGGACTAATATGGTCGTACTTCCTGGTTCTAGTCAGGACTCGAGCTGCTGCATTTTGAATGTACTGCAGCTGTTTTACATCCTGTTTGGACAGACCTGTGAGCAGGCCATTGCAGTAGTCTAACCTACTGGAGACAAATGCACGGATAAGAATCTCCAAGTCTGCTTTAGACACTATTTTTTTTAATATATCTTGTGCTCTTAATGTGTTTGATTTATGCATGATGTGATAGGGGATGTGAAGCGCTTTGCGTTGCCTTGTGTAGGAAAGGCGCTATACAAATAAACGTTGATTGATTGATTGACTATGTTTTTGATCCTGGCAATGTTTTTTAGATGGTAAAAAGCTGCTGATGTTACTGATTTGATGTGGCTATTAAAATTTAAGTCTGAGTCCAGTATTACCCCTAGATTTCTGACCTTGTTTGAAGGTTTTAGGGAGAGAGACTGTAGATGACAGATGACGCTCTCTCTTTGTTTCTGGGGACCAAAGACAATCATTTCAGTTTTGTCTGCGTTTAGCTGAAGGAAGTTGTTTTGCATCCACTCACTGATCTGTTGGATACAGTGAAGGAGTGAGTCCACTGGTCCATGTTCTCCCTACAGTGTGTGTACTGTAGATCTGTTTAGTCACAGCTTGTATTTGGTGAATAAGACATTTCTCAAGCACAGAAGCTTGTTTGAGCACAGCACTGTTACATCGTTTTAGTTTGCATATTCATAATCCCCTCAGAGAAATCTTTGACAAATGCTTGAATGTCTGCCTCATTTACAGTATCTTCTGATTATTTTGGTCTGGCGCTATAGCATTGTTTTCATGCAAACCCTGTATCTGCACCCGCAACGAGAAGCACCAATTATTTGTTTTTTCCAACTCACTTTTCCCAGGTGAGATAGTAGGAGTTTCAGCTTGTTAGCAGAATAAAACACATGTTATGTTACAAAAAGTGCCAATTAAAACAAGTTTGTTTTTGTCATTTCAGTTTGTCCCACTGCATTTCGTCTGTGGGTTAGTAAACAGCACAGCACACCAGCGGGAGGTGACATGATGCTCTGGGCGACTCATACGTTAATCTCCCAGGGCACAAAAAAAGGGTCAAAGCCAATCCTGTGAGAAATGGCATGAAAAATAGAAAATATTATTTCATCGAGGCTCCACTTATTAGGCAATATTACAAATGTATTTTATGTAGAGGAGTGCATTTATTATTTTTACTGAGATGATAAATTATATACCTTGGGAGGAGGAAGTAGCTCAAAGTTGTTTTCATCTTGCTTTCATATAAGACTAAGCAATTCCTCCCTTGGAATAATAACAAGTGCAATGATTGAAGCAAGAACGAAGCTGATCCCTTTTCTTTTTTTTTTGACACTCAATGTCTTAAAAATATCAATGTCGCCGCAATGAGCAGACAGCAAAGACTGCAATTATCCAATTGTTTTCAATTGGTTTCTTTTACAAAAAAGGACTAAAGATAAGCAAAAATGTAACTTTTTTTCTAATCTATATTAACTGTCAAACAACTAAGATGGTAATAATTTAGTGGAAAATTGTCATTGTGAATCAGTAAATCTTTCGGTGCTGGTTGTAATTTAGGTGCAAACTCTAGAAAGATGTTGTGTGTTGGGATTGTGTAGGGGGTACATTGCTTCAAATAAGGCTTTTTCAAATTGAACTCTCAAGAAGAAAATGTGACGTTTTAAACATTGAAAAATTGCATCACAATTGCTTTGTCGGTCAGAAATGTTATATTATGTCAAATTCAAATTGTCAGGTATTCTCAAATGTACCAGTTCAATTATTGTTTTATCAATTGGAGAGGGGTAAATATAGAATAATATACTAATCCTCTGAAATTAGTATAGTAAGTTTTTAAGGCAGCTCATGGAGTTTAATGGCCCATTGCAATTTACAATGGCACCTCTTAAAAAATAAATCTCAACTTTAATGGACAGTTGTTCATGCCAACACCAGGCGGTATTTGATTGCAGTGAGCAAAGTCATTCATTTCAAATAAATGAAACAGCTCATCCAAACTAGCTGACTCGGCTAATATTATTTTTTATTCACTGCTGACATTTGGTTTCTGACGCATAGTGGGCCGTGCTAAGTCTCGACAAAGGAGGTCGTCCAAATAGTTCCGCTGAGGGAGCTTTAATGCTGCTCTGATTAAAGAAGTGTGCTCTTGATTAATGGTGATTTAATAGGCCTGCCTCTTTCTGGGCCCGAAGTAATCAGTCAAACATAGCTGGAACAAAAACACGTGATGCATTACAGTACAGGAGAAGCCTTGCACATTATTATCTGTGGATGCATCATAATTACTTTCAATATTGCTTTAAGCTT